GGGCTCTTAGCGTGGGGCAGTTCTGTCAGCCCAAAAGGTTTAACCATGTCTGTAAAATCAAATCTTACTTTAGGATTCTTAACAGCATAGTTCTGCACAGTAGGGCAGGCTTCAGAAACCTGGTGTTGTGGCATACTATTTTTCTTTGCCAAGTGAAATGTGCTGGAAGAAACTTGATGGGAACCAGCAGATTATTGCCTGACAGAAAGGCAGAAGGTCATCATTGAAATGGCCATTGATACTTTGCTGGAGATGGCAGCTTTCAGTTTATACTTGCTGACGAGTTGTGAATTCAGCTTGAGGTGGGAGATGCTGTCGCACAGATGTTTCTTTTGGTATACTGTGGTGCTCACTCAGTTTTATCCATTACTGTCTTTGACATATCTGCCATAGTTTGGTAGCTTTTTTTGGTGACAGGTTTTTTTTCAGATGTAATTATGGTGTTTAAAATACAAAGTAAGGCAAGGAAATCTCTGTCCGCTTGGTTCTTTAAGTGTTTTAACTGAAATATCCCAGATCTCTAGAAATGTAACTTCCAAATCTGTTTGATAATCTTTACCTGAGAATACTTCAAACAAGAACAACAACAAAAAGACTGTAGTATTCTAGAAGTGGCTGAGGTACCAAAGATATGAAAACCAGAAGCATGACGGCTGTCTTTATCACTAATTTTTAAAGGACAGTGAGCACTACAGGTTGGCAGACTAGTCTGCTTCCTTTTGAATTCCTGAAAAACATTCTGGAACAAAAGCTATTTATAAGCTGAGTAAAGGACAGCATCAGTTTGTCAAGGACAAATTGTTGAAGTAATCTAACTTATTTCACTGACAGGCCTACTGTATATGAGATCAGTTGATATCTTATATTTAGTCTTTAATAGGACTTTTGATTCTGTTTCTCAAGTTTTTTTTGCTGGAGAAGAACAGTACGGAACAACTACTGTTGTGATTAAGGAGGCCAGTCCCTTGTTAACTACTCTTCATGATTTTCACGAAGAGTTTCTGTAATGAAATAATATGATAATTAAAACTTATGAAGGTGTAAAGCTATAAGGCATTGCAGACATTTTTGAGTATGGTAGTGCAAATCAGAATGCCTTGAAGATTCAGAAACCTCTGTGAGGGGAAAGGGTACAAATGAGTAGAGTTTTATGCCTGCCCTTAAGCAGGAGCAATCAACTATACAAACACAGGACAGAGAACAGTCTTTTGTTTCTTAGAGGGAAAGAATTTGGAGGGCATAATAAGCTGGATATGTGAAGGGAACATCATGCAGGTTATACTTCCATTTATAAATTTCAGTAAGGCGTGTGAAGCAGTGTTTACCCTCAATTCAGGCCTTCTCAGGCATTAGCTGGGATACTGCATGGATAGATACTGGTGGGTTCAAGCTCATTGTAGAAGGAAGGTGGTAAACTGGGAAGAGTGTCAAGGCCAGCAGTGAGAAATCTGCAGAAAGCATGCTTGACTGACTAGGAAGGATTGAAGCACTAATTACATTAGTCTGCAAAATGAACAACCTGCTGGTAAAATGCTTTCCTGCAAAATTTGAGAAGAATAAAACTGTAGTACAGTCTGATCTGGGATTTCTGATTAAAGCAGTATTGGAGTCTGCTTTAGTGAGATCAAGGTCCTTTCTTCACAGATATCCTCTGCTCTTTTTAGCCCTTCTTTAAGAATATGATATTGGAGTGTCTTTGTTGTTAAAGTTGGTGCTGTATACAAGCTGTAAGAAAGTGTGGGTGTTTTTTTGTTTTTGTTGTTTTGTTTTGTTTTGTTTTCTCTGCTGTTTTAGTAACTTGAGTATTTCTGTACCAGGCAGAGTAGTTAGTTCATTTGTAATGTAGATGGTCATGAGTGTGGTTAGTCTTGAGGTTGGCATGGTAATTTAATACTGTTGATAGTGGGGAGTCTCCAGGGGAATTAATTGTGAACTGAGCCCTTTATGGTGTTAGCAGAGTAATTAGCTGGGTTTGGACTCTAGAGGATTTCATGTCAGAATTTTGAAATGTATGTCCTGTATGAGGGTAACCAAACTCTTCCATTCACAAAATTAAAAACTTGCTGATTTTTGTCTATGTCTGAAACAACACAAGAAAATCGTAAGCCTCCACAAGAGCATGTCCTTGTCTTTTATTGGTTAAGTTGCACTTCCAGTGCCAGTGTTTCAACTCTTGATCTTATTTGTATTAATCGGTAGCTGCCTTACTCTGCAGAAACTGAGTATACCAATAGATACTCTTCCCTTCAGAGTCAGGAATTTTGTTACGTTTTGTCATTGCTTCATAGGAGCATCTTCTAAGCAGTTGAAGGTTATGCAGTATGAGAGAACTCTTCTGAAGTAGTTCATTGATCTCAGGGGAGCATTCTTTAGGGGTTCAGAAATTTCAGCCAGCTGATACTAGGGAACCATGTGCTAATACTGAGAAGCCTGTCTAGCTAAAATGAATTACGGAAAGTAACTTACCTTTCTTTGGGCTAACAACCAAGTTCAGAGGTAAATGCTGCTTGCCACAGGAAGGCATGGCTTTATAGCCTGCAGTAATATATTTTAAGATCTGATTCTAGCAGCATGGGTCCCAAATAAGGCTGTCCTGTTAGGCAGGATTTAGTTCACAGTAAGAGCTCCTCTCAGGCATTGCATTTCTCATGTTGTGGATTTTTTTCCATTTAAGCTATTTGTGTAGAGAGCTAGTTTTTTAATGTGTTTTCTATCTAAAAATTTTGAACTGTAATTTTGAAAATGTGTATACATTACTTCAAAACAACTCTTACTTGTCATCAGTTGTAGTTGGTAAAAATTAGGCCTTTCATTTTGTATTTTGAGATTAAAATGACAACCAAGTGAAGAACAGAAAAATGTAGTTTACTTTGGTAACTGTGAAGTTGCTTTTGTCTTTGAATGTGAGTTAAGTTGTGGTAGGACTCAATTGTCTCTCTCTTTTAGCATATTCAGTACATTTTTATAGTATTTTTGGAAATTCCCTCATGGTAGTAACTGAGTGCAGCATCTTGCACAAAAACTTTTCACCTTCTGTTTTGGTAGCAACTTTTTAGGTGTGACTGTAGTAAAAAATTGTATAGGTGTGACTAATGGAGGGTAAACTGTATAATTTTTTTTGTTTGCATGGCATAAGGTGTGGCTGTAATGGACACCCAGAGCTCTGTATGTCAGATAGCACTGCCTGAATCAAGTCAATATATAGTATTTCTTTTACATTCT